AAAATTAGTTATAATTAATTTTATATACATACATAATATATATATTAAAATAAAAATAATTATAATTAACATATATATATATATATATTAAAAATAATATGTGTATGTATATATATTAATTATATATACAATATATACATATATAACTAATACACATATTAAAATAATTATAATTATAACTAATATATATATATATAATATATCTATTAAAAATAATATGTATATGTATATATACATGCAACGTATATATATACAACTAATATGCAAATTAAAATAATAGTAATTATAACTAATATATATACAATATAAAAATAATATTTATATATATATATTATTTATAATATAATTTATAACATATATATATATTATAGATATATATATGTGTTTTATTAGTTATAAATAATTTTATATTTAACATATATATTTATCTATGAATTTGTATGTATATATATTAATTTAAATAATTTATTTAATTTAAAACTTATTTGAAATGATGATTTGATATAATTATTATGATGATGTATGTGACTTGGATGTTATGTCATTACCACATTATCATTTTTTGCGTTAACAAACGCGAGAGGTTTTAAATAATTTCTAATATACTGTACGTTGGAAAAGTCTATTAGAAATCACACGTTTTTCATATATACATTTAAAGATATATATATATATATATATCATATTTCTCTTACGATGAAAACTATTCATGCATCGGCTTTATTAATTAATTAAGGCAGAGTAATATCATAGTTTGCATTTAAGCCAAAGTTTTATACCCAGCAAAAAAAAAAACGAAACAGTCAATTTTACTCTCGAGGAAGGCTGTCGTATTATTTGGAAGGATACCATGCACCTGCCGTCATCATTTATTAAACGTCTACCACATTCTCCAATTAAACCTCTATTCCCACATTCGACCTAGATCATGTGGAAAAACGCTCTCCGCCGGAACGCTTTCTCAGCCATATTCATGATGGTGATGGCATCCACGGTGAGGGCCGACGAGGATCCCATAAAGTGCACGACCTGCCTCCAGAGCCCCCCGCCCCCATCTCCTCCACCTCCATCTCTGCCTTCTCCTCCACCTCCATCTCCGCCGCCCCCTCCACCTCAGTTGTGTCCGCCGCCGCCTCTTCCACCTCAATTGTGTCCGCCCCCGCCACCTCTGTCACCGCCTCTGCCGCCTCCGCCGCCAACTTCCTTAAACTACATAACGGGCCCACCCGGAAATCTTTATCCCGTTGACCAGGGATTCGAGGGCTCCGCGGGAAAAATTACAGCGTCGGTGAAGCTCTTGGGTCTACTCGCCTTTAGTTTCCTCGCTTTGTTTAATAGTTTTTGACGTGGAAATAACATATATTGTCTTTTGCTATTTTTGCTGTCGATCCTCCATATTCTCCCCATTTTCCCATATTCCGTTCGACTTTAGCGGGTACGTTATGATTTCGGCACCATGTTTAGTTATGCCCCAAAACATTGAAGATTTAATGTTTCTCTAGCTAGCTAGCTAGGAAGATCTGCACTTCATCTCATATACTTCGATGTATTGTGCCCGATATTTCTTATGATTTCTACTCCATATATGATATTCCACTTTTAGGGTTATATGTGTTAACCCGGATTTCGATCACTGACTATCGATCGATGTATTGTGTACGTGATGTATAATTTTATGTATTGTCATTTCACAAATTTGTAACTTGTTTCTTTCGCCGGAAAGTTATGACTTAAAGCAAAACATTGCTGAAATTTCTATATTTTTTATCATTTTGGTCATACAATAGACTCACTTTATTTGATCGCTGTCGCTGTTTACCAGTTACAGATATACTTAACTCTGTTCTTTATCAGTTTTTTTGAATGTAGTTTCTGACATACAAATTGTAAAGAGAGAAAGGAACAGATGTGTCGTGGATTGAATACGTATACATAATTCTCTAAATAAAAGCGTTTGGTTCACGTTTTATAAACGACAAAAAGAAGCTAACGAATTGGTGGAATCGATTTCGTGGAAAGTGTCGGAAGGTGTTATCTTAGAAGTTGCTCATAGGGATGCCACGGTGGAAAGGTGGTTTGCTTAATTTTCATCTCACGTTTCAACTGTGCCATCTGAAATTTGGAATGGAAATAGTGGATTTTCGGGGAAAAGTATATGAAACCTTCGAGTCCATTTTATACTTCAACTTGTATTTGATGAGGAATTGTGTCTTTCTTCTCGACCTATTTCGGTACAGGTTGCTATATTGTGATGATAACCCACGGAACTATCGTATTGATATCATATCTATTAGAAAACAAATTTAACGAACGAAACGAGTGGACCCAAATAGTTTTTTTTTTTTTTTTTTTAAGATAAGGAAGATGAGGAACAGATTATAAGTACATGAAGGAAATTGCGCGGCCACAAATATTAACGTGAAACGTTAATGAAGGTACGCATCAAGAAAGGCATACATTTGTTTGTTTGTTTGTCGGCAGAACACAGAGATCCAATTACCTCCCCATGCGAATCGGGGAATGGGGAAGAAGCTATTGATAGTCTAGAGGCAGTCTGCCATCACTCATGGACCAGACAACAAATTAAGGGCTTTGTTCGCATGCATTACCATTAGGGCTGGGCGTTTCGGTTCGGTTCTTCGGAACCGGACCGAACCGAACCGTTAAAACGGTATTTTTTTCGACCCGAAGCCGTTGTTATTTCCCGAACGGTACTATTTTTAGAGAACCGAATTTTCCAGGAACCGAACCGAACCGAACCGAACTTTAAAAATCCCGAAAAACCGAATATTTTTAAAGAAAATCTATCATTTATTTAATAAAACCCGGAACCGAACCGAATCGATACCGAACCGAACCGAACCGAATACAATAAATAACCCGATTGGTACCTATTTTTGTAAAACCGAAAGAAGTGAACCGATTTATTCCGTCCCGAACCTGAACCGTTTCCCGAAACGCCCACCCCTACCATCCGTCGGAGTTATTATTTGTTTATTACATAATTCCGGCGGTTAAACAAGCACAGTGTAATTGCCAACAAAGGAAAGGGCAAAATGTAAAAGCGACGGGCTGTTGAAATGTATCGGTCCATGACTCGTGACGGATGAGTTATCATGTTTTTATCATTTCATTTTTTTTCCTGGAAAATTAATAAAAGATTAAGGATCGTCGGTGATATTCCATCGCCATGTACGCAACCACATGGCTTGGTCGCAACCTAATCTATATATATCTTCACATATATATATATATAAGTTGGTGATATTCCATCGCTATGTACGCAACCACATGGCTTGGTCGCAACCTAATCTATATATATCTTCATATATATATATATATAAGTTGGGTTTGAAGGAATATGGTGAAGCCACCTAAACACTCATGTGTCACTTTTCTCCTGGTTCATTAATTTCCACATATTTAATTAACCAATCTTTTCTAAACAATTATTATTTATATTAAAATAATATTATATTTAAAATACTGTTACGTGGTGTAAGATTATGATTGTGGTAAATGGCAGAATTTAATGTCTTCCACACAGTCATTCTAATTTCCCGTTATCTTTACGTTTTATCTATTAATATTTAGTGGGTTAAAAAATTAAAACAAAAAACGGTGATGGATGCACTCAAAGGTCAATTGTGTTTATTATCTCTCTTATTATTACTACGTTTAAGGTCACCGTCTACAATTTGTTTCGATTTTTTCATTGAAACCGAAATACTTATCATCATCCTCATCGTCGTCATCAATGTCATTACCATAATCTTCCATTTTTTTCCAAGGCAATTATTCACACTGTCGAAATACCAAGATTTCTATTCCGAGCAAAAGGACCCATTATTGAGCTAAAACTAATCAAATCTGGAATAACATTTCTTGAGGTCATCTCACTGAAAATGTTTTCTGCATCGGTTGTTGCATCGTTGTTCCTGCGGACCTCAACCCCCTATGAGTTGTAAGTAGTAGGCATGCAAATCATTTTCCACGTATGTGTTCTGTGTGTGTATTTATATGTATATGTGGAAAAAGTTTTTTTTTTTGGGTTCTGAATGCTTTGATGAATGCATTTCTGGGTCTTTGGTTGTGTAGATTGAAGCTTGCTTTGTCCCGGATCTGGTGGCCGAGACAATTTAATTTACTTTGTATCTATTTCTTAGTTGAGAAAATACGAGTAAAGAAAACATGAGTAAAGAAGAGTTTATGGGACCCACGTTTGCTAAATTTCTCATTTCAAAGACTTTTGTTTGTGTTTATGCTTTTCTGGGTTCTTGCATGAATCCTCATTCTAGTGTATGGGTTTGTGTTTGTGCATGTAGACTTGTGTTCTTAAAGTGAACATACATTAGGATGGTTGTAAGCATAAAGTAAAAAAGATAATGCAGAATAGTCTTTTTTTTTTGTCCATGGAAAATTCAGATTTATTTTTGAACACTGACGCAGTTCTTTGTTGACTGTTGTCAAAACAGGAGGGTTCATGACCAAGATAACTGCAGAAGATCGTATTCATTCCTCATATTCATGTATATATAGACGTATTTATGTGTATATGTATTTGTGTATATATGTGTGCACGAATGTATTTGTATATCTATATATGTATACATGATTATATAGATATATACATGTATATATATAGATGTATTTGTGTGTGTATATGTATGTGTATACATATATTCATATGTATTTATGTATACATGTATTTTCTATTTATATGTTGTATGTACACATGTTTATATTGATTTATATGTAGATATGTGTATAGAAATTTTTTTTTTGGATAATCGGGTTTTCTGGACCGAAGCTCAGACTAATCCCGGAACCGTATATAGAAATATTACTAACTAACAATATGTGTTTGTAAATATATATATATATATATATATATATATATGTACATATAGATGTTTATATGGATTTAAATATAGATATATGTATAGAAATACTACTAATTAAAAATGAATAGTTTTGATTTTATATTCTCATTTGTTTTTATTTTTATTTTAAAATCTATATTTATATATTTTAATTCTTACAGTCTATCATATTTAATCTATAATTCAATGAAAATAATAATTTTAAAATAAAAAACATAAAATTAAAGCCAATTATTTTAATACAATGCAAAATATATAAAATCAATATTAATTCAGAAAATTAAGTGAAAAGAATGCTAAACATATATATGTATATATATATATATATATTTATTCATATGCATATATGTATTTATGCATATATGTATATCTATGAATATATATGTTTTTGTATGTATGCATTTATATGTGTATATATATACATGTTTAAATGGATGTTTATGTATATATATGTAAGCATATACGGATATATATTTTTAATAATTTGTTACTTTTCATTGTATATGTATATATATGTGTGTTTCTATTTGTATAAGTGTATATACAAATATTATAAATATATTTATGTAAACATGATTATGGTTATATGGATGTTTATGTGTGTGTATACACATATACATGTAAAATATGTATATATAGATACATTTGTGTGTGTATATGGCCAAATTTCTGTTAGAAATTAATGTTTCCAATTGATAAATCCGTTGGAATTACGTCGTTGGAAATCGACATCCGTTAGACAACCGTTGAAATTTTCAACGGAATTTCAACGGTTTTTTCAGTTGGAAAATTCCAACGGATTTCCAACTGCAATTCGTTAGAATTTTCCAACCACAATCCGTTGGAATTTTCCAACAGAATTTCCAACCGATATCCATTGGAATATTTTAACGGAAAATTCAAAACATTTCTCGATCTCGATCCCGACCCCGACTCTATATCAAACCCAAAACTCTGAAATTAAATTCTCAAACTCACTTCCAGTTAGGTCACCTATTCCACTACTCTAACACAATCTCCTTAACTAGAGTTTTAATTCATTATCATCTAACTGATCCAAATTAAACTTTTGATATCATATAATATTAATATATATACATATATAAATATTTATATATATACATATACACATAAATATATATACATATATACAGACATATATATACATATATATATACACATATATACATGTATAAATATTTATACATATATATTTATATATATATATATATGTGTATAATATATATTTGTAGTATAGATACACAATATATATAATATGGGTGGACGTTTCGATTCAATTTCGAAGAATCGAATTGTAGCGAACCGAAAATCTCGATATTTTTTTCGAACCGTACCATTCAAAATTTCCGAACAGTATATTTTTTATAGAACCGAATTTTCCGAAATCGAACCGAACCGAACTTTATAAAATTTTCGAAAAAACGAAACTTTCTTGAGAAATATTCTGAAGCTGTCTACAAAACATCAGTCAGCACCCTCTCGAAGCCTTGATTCCTTTGTATTGTGGGCTTTCGACTGCATTCTCACGGATTTGGCAGGACAACAATCAGGCAGCAAGAAGGGTGCACATCACACTTCTTCAAAATCTCAGGTAAAAGATTACGTTGCTGCTGAATCTGGATTTGTTTCATCCTTGTAAAATTTCTTCTTTCAAGTACTAGATGTGTTTCCAGACTCTACTCTCTGAATTTAGCATTCTCACCCTTTTTTTTATTGCTTTCAATGTCTATCTGATTGAATGTTTCGTCAATTACCACTGCAATGTGAGCTTTATTATTTCTTTCTTCTTTTAATGTATAGGTTGCAGTTTTTGTTGAATTAGCAATGGTATTGCACAGGAAACCTGATGCTTTGACTGATGTATTGGCTACTCTGAGGGAGAATCCAAAGTACCAGGGTCAGGGACAGGATAAGCTTCCAGTCGTAGTTTGGATGATGACTCAGGTGAGTGTGAAATGTAGTTCAATATTACAAAAATTGATGCTGCCTATGTAATATTCTTTGAATTTTTTATGAGTCTGACTAAAAGTTGTCCAAAAGCCTCCCAAAGTGATCTATCGGTAGGTTTGTACTCATGGACACACAACATTTTACCCCTAGTCAGTAGCAAGAGCTGCAATCCTCAGTCCAGGGACCTATTTCTGCAGCTGACCGAGAGGTGAGTGAACTATATCAGGCGATCTCCTCCTGTGCATGATGATCATCTAATTTTGCTTTTTGTATTTTCAGAATTTTGTCAAACCCGAAATCCAGGACGATACTAGTAAATGGTGCTGTTAGAAAGGGGGAGCGTCTGATTCCACCTCCTTCATTTGAGATCCTAGTGCGACTTACGTCATCTATGAGAGTAAAGGTAATATTGCGACGTTGAGACAGTACTTTGATGCGTATGGACCAATTTTAATGACCATCATGTTGTGATACGCAGGCTATAGAGAGGTTGGAGGCTATATATCCCCTGCTGAAGGAGTTGGCTCTTGCTGGCGCTCCTGGGAGCAAGGCGATGAAACAGGTCACACAGCAAATATTCACCTTTGCTCTGAAGGCAGCTGGGGAAGGTAAATCAAGGCCTTGGATCACAATATCACCTCTTGCATTAGAAGTTGTAATGTGTGTGTGTGTACTATGTTACAGGGAATGCTGAGCTATCCAAGGAAGTAACTGCACTTGCTATATGGTCTCTGACTCAAAACGTTGATTGCTGCAAGCACTGGGTAAGATGCCACTCTGTCTTTCTCGAATTATTTATTTCACTGCGATTCACTCACTCAAGTTCACTAACTAGTCTTTCTGCTGTGCAATGTGCATCAACAGGACAATCTCTATCACGACAATCTGGAAGCTAGCGTTGCTATTCTTACAAGGCTCGTCGATGAATGAAAGGAGCACTCCCTCAAACCGACCCCGGCTGATACTCTCGACCGACCTATAAAGAACTTCAGGCAGAAGGTCGGTCTCTAGCTAAATATATTCCCATCCGTTCACCGTGATCTCAGTCGGACCTGATAAACTTGCCAGAATGAGAAAGCCCTTGGTGATGGAGAAGCGGAAACGGCCTGCCAGTCCCTTTACAAAGATGCTGACAAGTGCTGCAAGGTGTTCTCTCCTTTTTTCTTTTACTGATATTGTAGTTTTGAGTTTCACATTTTCTGAATGATAATTTTCCCTAATTATGAAAAAGGTAACACTGTACGAGACAATACCCAGGCTAGTGGAGCAGATGAGTGTCTCGGTCTCACCAGAAGTGAAAGAGGCTGCAGTGGTGGAGCTTAACAGAATAGTGTCGGAAGGAGTTGAGGACTCAGCCCGTGTTCTGGCGGCACGTGGAGGTATAGAGCCGCTGGTTAAGCTTCTGGAAGATGGGAACGAGCGGGCAGTAGAAGCAAGCCTCTCTGTACTCTATAACCTCAGCATGGATTGTGAGAACCACGCCGCAATTATAGGAGCGGGGGCTGTGCCAAGGCTGCGTCGGATTGTACTGTCTGAGAGACCACAGTGGAAGAGAGCTCTCCGGTTACTGAGGAATTTGCCAATTTGACAAGTCAGAGAGTGTTGTATCTCTAGGGATGAACCATTTCATGTAGTTATTGGAATATCATATCGAATAAGCACTTGGCAACAAGATATCCCATACTTCTGCTCATAACTTGTCATCCAGACAGAGAGCAAGTCCAACTCGGCATTGCTCTGCTCTGGCAGCGGCAAGCGCGGCTGCCGCTGTTCTGTCCTCCAACCAAGAGGGTAAATCGGAGCTGAAAAATCTGGTGGAGTCCTGGGACCTGAAGAAACTCACGGAGGCGTTCACCACAGGGGGAAATGAGATGGTAAGGATTTTCTTTTCGATCCCGTCACTACATTATTATTACAATAAAATTCATATCCGCTGATTCATGGGTTCTGTTCTGTACCCTTTTTGTCTGTGGATTTTGCTCTCTAGTTTATGCCAGACCCGAACAGGGTGATATCATCATCATCAGATGGTGTGGTGTGTTTCCGATGGGAATTGGCTACCAGCATTCACCCGCAAAAAATATGGAGAGATTAGCTTACTATTCACCTGTACGATTTCCAACTAGGGCAACAACTGGAGCGTGTGTGTGTTTTGGCACCCTCATCAAATTTCCCCATGAATATGAGGCTAGAGGTTCATGCACTTCATTTCTTCTTTCTATGTACACAGAGTTAAAAGTTTTCAACTTGAATCATAACAGAGTAGTCATGGAATATTTCCATCTTTCAAAATAAAAAAGGAAAAAATCCATTCCATGGTCAGATTCTCGGCGAGGATAAGGAGTGGGAAACAAATAATATATACACACATATTCAAAGTCGTAGAAGATTCCTCAGGGTTTAACCCACAAAGACAATCTCAGGACATTATTACAGTTGGAAATTCGAACTTTGAACGCAAGACCCGTTCGGCTTGCTTCTTCTTCGTCCGCTGAAATGGCACTCTCCGTCGCTTCCACTGTCGACCTCGCCGAGTTTCCATGTTTCCGGCGATTTCTAATTTCAAGTACCCATATCCAGTCTTTTGCCATCGACCCCAGGAACAAGCCCAGCTGGAGGCGTGGGCTCTCGCTCGGTCCCTCGCCGCCGTTTTTCCGCCTGAACCATCGTCGTCGTGGACTTTTCGAGCCCGAATCGTGCTCTGACCGTCCCGTCCTCGCTAGGGTCGCTGGTGAAGACGCCCTTGATGCCACCGGAACTGGTTCCGGCGCTTCTGTAAGTCCCTTTATGATTCCCTAAAGCTCTGATTTTTTCCCCGGAGAATTACTTCACTTTCTGTTGATTTGGTTGAACTTGACCAAATCGACAAATGTGAGATAATTGTGATTAAAGAAGGACAACTAAAATCGCTTGGTTTCGATTTTTTGGTACTTGGCAAGCATTCTGCTTTCTCGAATGGGCAAAGCCTGCTTTGGTAGAGGATAATGGCCGTGTTTGTTGGTTGTAAAGCACATGAGATTTTGGATTTGAGGGTTTAAGAGTTGCTTGGTATGACTATGTTGTATTGCATCTTCTATTGTTACATTGGTTAATTAATGCCTAGAACCCGCGATTAGTATTGGTTTACACTCGCCTATGAAACACTTATCATTGTGATTACTGATTAGTTAGGTTAGGGTGTAGATTTTGCCTGCTTAAAATCTTACAATGATAATTTCTGCTTTGGGTAAATGATTTTAGTTCCAGCAGGCTGCTGGAACAAGCGTAAGCTCGTCAGCTTTCGGTGATGGCTATGTGGCCTTGTTTGTACGAATGCTTGGGTTGGACAATGATCCTCTTGACAGGGAACAGGCTGCACAAGCGTTATGGAAATATTCACTGGGCGGAAAGAAGTGTGTCGATGCTATAATGCAGTTTCATGGTTGTTTGAATCTCACAGTTAATCTTCTCAAGTCTGAGTCTAGTGCCACGTGCGAGGCGGCTGCGGGGCTTTTACGGGAATTATCTTCTGTGAATTTGTATAGGGAATCTGTTGCAGAAAGTGGGGCGTTGGAAGAGATAGCAGCTTTGTTGAGCCGGCCGTCATTGTCCGCTGAGGTATAAAAGAAGTGATTTAGAAATTAGTCTTTGTTTATATTTTCTTTTTACTTTTGAACACAAGAATACGTTTGTTCTCTTGTTCTGTCTGTCAGATCAAAGAACAAAGCCTATGCACTCTGTGGAATTTGTCAGTGGATGTGAAACTCAGGGACAAAATTGCTGATTTTGATATCCTTAGACTAATTGTTAGCTTCCTGGAAGATGACGATATAAAGGTGCGGGAGTCGGCTGGTGGTGTTTTGGCAAATTTGGCGCTTAGTTGTTCAAATCACAAGACCATGGTGGAAGCTGGTGTCATACCGAAACTGGTATGAGGGTTTGCATTTTGTTCTTTATTGTATCAAACAACCTGCTGACTGCTTTACTGCAGTTTGCTGAAAGCTGGAAAGAAAGAGAATTACTGTGGAAAATCGAGATAATGAAAGAAATAACCAACAAAAGGATAAAGGAAACTAGACTTGCTTGATAGTGCTTCTGCTTCTTTTGTCTGTTTATTACTGGCTGTCATTATCATTCATTGGTGTTGTATAGTTTACTGCTAGCGAAAATGATCTTGTATCCCTGAAGAAATGGCATCAGGATACAGTTTGTTCTACAATAACAGTAAAAAAGCTGAAGATGGCTGAGCATCACATTTATTGTTTAAGATGGAAAATGTCCGTAAGTTGAATCTGCTGCGGTTCTTATACTAGTTCCATTTGGGCTCCAGGCAAATCTGTTGAAAGGTGATTCGGATAACAAAGGATCTAAAGTTATGAGACAAGAAGCTAGAAATACGCTTCTGGAGCTCGCTAAGGATGAATACTGGAGACTTCTCATCATTGAGGAGGGTCTAGTACCTGTTCCTCTAATTGGTGCAGCCGCTTACAAGTCCTTCAGACCCCCTCTGTATTCTTGGCCTAGTTTACCTGATGGTGTAGAAATTGAGCAGACACCTAAACGTCCTTCCAGATCCGGGGCTCCTGAGGTACTCCTTGGTTTAAACATTGACAAGAACATTGACATAGAGGAAGCCAAGATAAAAGCAATAGTTGGAAGGACAAACCAACAGTTTCTCGCCCGTGTTGGAGCTATAGAACTTGAGAATGGAACAAAATCTGAATCTCCTGAAAAATTGCAGCCACTTACACTTCTTCCGTACGTCGACGGTGTGGCTCGTTTGGTGTTGATTCTTGGACTGGACGACAAAGTGGCTGTCTCAAGGGCTGCAGACTCAATTGCTGATGCATCTATCAATGAGCATATGCGGGTTTCATTCAAGGAAGCTGGAGCTGTAGAGCCTTTGGTTCAGCTTTTAGTCCACGACCACGAGGCTGTTAAATCATCTGTCATCCGTGCCTTAAAAAAATTGTCTCTGAGGTGCTGCCTCCAACGCTGTCACATTCCTGCACTTTGTCTTTGAAAAATCTATATGATTTATATTCTATAACATGCAGCCGCACTGTTTGCCGGAAGATTGAAGTTGAAGGCGCAGTTCCCTACTTACTTAATCTTCTAAAGCAGACCGTGATCCCACAAAGTGTCACTGAACAGGTCTCATGTGTTGTTTGTTGTTTTCCTTTTTTTCTCTTCAGTCTTTGTTATTCTTGTATGGAATGGCGTTTTTTGTGCTGTTGACGGCGACGTGAGTGATTCTTTGCAGATTCTGGACATACTTGCTCATCTCTTAGACCCTAGCAAGGAAATGAAATCCAAGGTTTGTCTTTCCTTTTGTCATACTACACTTAAAACAGTTCTCTGCTTACGTGTTTCTCGATACTGTGTAGTTTTATGAAGGACCGGTGAACAGATCTTCAGAGACACTGAATGCAGCCAGACACCATGGCGATGTTTCACTGTTGTCAACATCAAAAGGAGACTCAAGGTCAGTCTTTTTCACGCTTTTCCTCTCCTCACCTCAACTTTTATGTATTAAGAACTGTTGAGTACTGAGGGGGTGAATATATACAGTGTACTTAGTAATTCTGGGCGCATGTGGACAGGGACGATGTTCTCAATACAACTATAATTTCTCGTCTTGTCCAAATAGCGAAAACAGCATCTCCTAATCTTCTAAGAAAGGTGATTTCAATAATTGAGTTTGGTACGGTCACTAATCCAAACATGAACTCCATCATCTCCGTGGATATCACATCTGCTCTGAAGGCTGCGTTCAAGCAGAAAGTCCTGGAAGGTGCTAGACTAAGCTCTGAAGAAAATATTTTGTTCATTTATTAAGTTGCAAGAAATTATTTTATTGTCTTAATTGCTAGTTTTAGAGATAAGTTTCTACCCATGATTTTGGCAAATTGGTCTAAGTGTAGTATAAGATCTTAAAGGTGGCTCTTATGTGTGGGTTTTGAATTTGATTGATTCAACTTCTTATGGATCCGTAGTAGTAGTCTCCAATATCTTGGAATTTTGAAGGAATGTAATTAAACCCATTAGTGTTAAGAGTGGGAGGCACAATCCTTAATGGAGCATCTTCCGAATACAGACAATGAGAAAGAAGCAGAGGAGCAAGGAAAGCATGCCCTTGAGTTAGAAGAAGCTGGTCTAACAATATCCGCAGCATCAAGGCTACTGACAAAACTTCTGGACTCTGAATCATTTCGTCAGGAAACTGATGCAGCTCACTTTGTGAACTTACTGAGGAAAATCCTGAGATCAAGCCTCCCTCTCCACCACAAAGAGTGGGTTGCTGCTTCTCTCGTCAAGCTTAGCTCTGCCCGTGACCTTGAGAACCCTATTCACGTTGAGGTATCCCTTTCTTTTTATTTTTCTGTGTCTTTTGGGTCCGAATCCTTTACCTATTAAAGTAAATATCTTACTCTTCTCTCCTTTTTTCTTTTACTGATATTGTAGTTTTGAGTTTCACATTTTCTGAATGATAATTTTCCCTAATTATGAAAAAGGTAACACTGTACGAGACAATACCCAGGCTAGTGGAGCAGATGAGTGTCTCGGTCTCACCAGAAGTGAAAGAGGCTGCAGTGGTGGAGCTTAACAGAATAGTGTCGGAAGGAGTTGAGGACTCAGCCCGTGTTCTGGCGGCACGTGGAGGTATAGAGCCGCTGGTTAAGCTTCTGGAAGATGGGAACGAGCGGGCAGTAGAAGCAAGCCTCTCTGTACTCTATAACCTCAGCATGGATTGTGAGAACCACGCCGCAATTATAGGAGCGGGGGCTGTGCCAAGGCTGCGTCGGATTGTACTGTCTGAGAGACCACAGTGGAAGAGAGCTCTCCGGTTACTGAGGAATTTGCCAATTTGACAAGTCAGAGAGTGTTGTATCTCTAGGGATGAACCATTTCATGTAGTTATTGGAATATCATATCGAATAAGCACTTGGCAACAAGATATCCCATACTTCTGCTCATAACTTGTCATCCAGACAGAGAGCAAGTCCAACTCGGCATTGCTCTGCTCCTCTCTCGGAAGCCCGTTCATCTGGATGAACCACCTCGTCCGGCCATCCCGGTCAAGTTGGGATTCTTCCGGTTCCAATTTGGCTCTCCCTCTCCCTCTTCATCCTCGTCGTTTACCGAGTTATTGACGCATGTCTCTGATGATTGATAGTTTGTGAATAATAGCAAAAAGACGAGTGTAAAATCTGTATGCAGTTGCTCACTTTCTCATATTGAATAAAGCAAAAAGCCGAGGTGTAAAAAAAAAGCTATATGCTTTAAACTTCTATCGGGATGTAAAATCTGTATGCAGTTGCTCACTTTCTCTTCTTGATCCAGGCTCCATATTATATATGATCTGCTAGAATCAAACTAGAGAACGCTCTGTAATCAATTGCCATTTGTTTTGGATAACAATTGTTTTTGTTGTTGTGCTTGTCGCGCAGTAATAGGATCACACACAATGGTTATCTCGCGATTCGTCAATTTCGCCGGAAAGTGTTTCTCTTTGCCGTTTTCTTCCCGGAGTTCCGTCGGGCAGCAGAGCTTCGGTGTCAAGTCGATTCAACATCTTCCAAAGGCTTCGACTTTCGGATTATTTCATGCTAGTTCAAAAGATGATGAAACCCTCGCGAACACTCAGCTCATCCTTCGAGACGCCGAGAAAATCTGCAAGATCCTGTCGAAAAGTCGGGATTCATGCGTTGGCAAGTTGCTGGACGAGGCTTCTATTCGAGTGTCGCCGTCGCTGGTGGAGGAAGTAGTTAAGAAACTGAGTAACGCAGGGGTTCTAGCTTTGTCCTTCTTCAGATGGGCAGAGAAGCAAAAGCGTTTCAAGCACACCACGGAGAGCTACAACGCTCTGATCGAAGCACTTGGTAAAGTGAAGCAATTCAAAGTCGTGTGGAGCCTAGTCGAGGACATGAGACACAGGAAGTTACTGACCAGAGACACGTTCGTACTCATCTGTAGGCGCTACGCCCGAGCCAGGAAGGTTAAGGAAGCCATATCCGCCTTCCTCAAGATGGAGGAGTTCGGCCTCAACCTGGAAACCTCTGATTACAACAGACTGCTCGACACCTTGAGCAAGTCCAGACATGTCGCCAAAGCACACGAGGTGTTCGACGAAATGAAAAACACAAGGTTCGTGCCTGATATCAAGTCCTATACTATTTTACTAGAAGGTTGGGGTCAGGAGCAGAACATGTTGAGACTTAACGAGGTTTACGCGGCGATGAAAGCGGATGGTTTTGAACCCGACGTTGTCACCTACGGCATCATCATCAATGCACATTGCAAGGCAAGAAAGTACGAAGATGCCATTAGACTCTTCCAAGAAATGGAAGAGAAGAATTGCAAACCAAGTCCCCACATTTTCTGCAGTCTGATCAACGGGCTTGGATCTGAGGCAAGACTGACTCAGGCCCTCGAATTTTTTGAAAGATACAAGAGTTCTGGGTTTCCTCTTGAGGTGCCCACTTACAATGCTGTAGTTGGAGCTTACTGTTGGTCGCAACGTATACAAGATGCATTTAACGTAGTGAAAGAGATGCGGGCAGAAGGGATTGGCCCCAACTCGAGGACTTATGATATAATCCTTCACCATCTTATACGGATGCGATGTACAAAAGAAGCCTACAATGTTTTCAAGAGGATGAATTGTGAACCAGCCGTGAGTACTTACGAGATCATGGTGAGGATGTTCTGCAAGAACGAGCGAGTGGATATGGCGATGAAGATTTGGGATGAGATGAAGGGAAAGGGTGTTCTGCCAGGTATGCACATGTTCTCCACGTTAATCGCAGCATTGTGCCATGAGAACAAATTAGATGAGGCGTGCGCGTATTTTCATGAGATGTTGGATGTGGGTATTCGGCCTCCGGCACAGATGTTTAGCCGTCTCAAGCAAGCACTTCTCGATGATGGCCGAGGAGACACTGTCGCGGATTTGGCCATGAAGATGGATAGGCTGAGAAAAAGCCCTTGTGTTGTGTCGAGATGATTATTTCCTGCATAATGGTTTTGTCGCGTTCGTGTGTCCGGACGGAAACCACGTAATAATTAAATGCCCATAATCTTTGATCAATTATATTGCGGTGTTGTGTGCTTTATAGTAGATTGCTGTTTATACAAACTGAATCTCTTTAAAATCTTTGATCAATTATATTGCGGTGTAACTTGTCAGGTAAAAGTTTTCATGCAACCCCATTACCTGCAAAATTTTGTCCAGGCTACTTTCATTGCTCTTACTCCAGAGAAAGTCAAATGTAGGATTTCCCTTTACCCACCTTGGTTGTTGCTCATATGGGCGTTTCTCAATACCAGGCAAACATCTGCACTGTTCCAAATAAGCCTGAGTATTTCCAAACATGTGCAGGTGCAACACTTGTTGTTTCTGGTGATGGTCGTTATTTCTCAAAGGATGCTGTCCAGGTAGGTTGTCTGAATTTTTTTTAATCAAGTTTTATGTGTCGAATCCTTAACTGAAGAATATGAATATAATGATCATGCATTTACACTCTTATGCAAACTCATCTGCATACAGCACTTTGCAAGGAACTCATGAATTATACGCGTGTTATAGTTACATTGCTATATTTTCTCAGGAGCGTTAAATGATTGATTCTGTTAGCAATTACAAAACACTTGTTGCTAATTAGTTGATCAACCTTTTGATTTAGAAAGCTTGCTAAGTTCCTACTATTTCATGCCTCATTGCCTCGTTCCTGATTTTTTACCTCTACATCAGAAGAACAAAGAGAACTAGAGTTTAAACCAGTTCGTTCCATTTGTCTTTGAATATAATCCTTCTTTTCTGTTTGCTGGGTAAGTTTCTCAGTTAAGTTTGATTGACCTAAGACCTGTTGTTATTTGAATGATTGCTTTTTCTTTCGTACTTAAAGGATCTGATTCTTTTTTTTCCAGATAAAAGTGTTTTTATAGCTGCTCAAACAATACTATTTCCTTTCCTTACAGATCATAATTAAGATGGCAGGCAGCTGCTAATGGTGCAAGACGTGTATGGGTTGGTCAAAATGGATTGCTATCAGCTCCAGCTGTATCAGCTGTGATACGCGAAAGAGTGGGTGCTGATGTAAGATATCTTTCTTTGAGCACAGAGTTATGCGATCATTGGATTTCTTTTCCTTGGTTTCTGTATAAGGTCATGCAGGAGCACAAAAAACAATTAAGGTTATAAGAAACTAACTTGAGTCTCCAATGTCAGGGATCTAAAGCAAAAGGAGCATTTATATTAACAGCAAGTCACAATCCTGGTGGCCCTACTGAGGTCAACTCTGTTCTTGCGCCCCTTATGTTCTGCTGTCTGTTTGTTTCAACTGAATTGCTCTTGTGGCACCATGTTAAGTTCTTGTTTCAATCTAGTAGTTATATGCTTAGCTCTACACGACTAAAGATTTATCTCATGCTCTTCTGTTACAGGACTTTGGAAGTAAATACAATATGGGGAATGGTGGGCCCGCTCCTGAATCAATCACGGATAAAATCTACGAGAATACGAAAACAATCAATGAGTACCCAATAGCTGAAGATCTACCCGATGTACTTAATGTCTTCTGAATAATCCTCTCATTTCCCCGTCTTCTGTGCTTTAGTTAGCCATAGCCTTTTTCTATCCTTATGATGGATTGCAATAGGTCGATATTTCTGCTGTTGGTCTAACCAGATTCGAGGGACCTGAAGGGAGATTTGATGTTGATATTTTTGATTCTGTGGATGACTATGTGAAACTAATGAAGTAAGTCTCTGGTCACTGTATTCAAGAGAATGGATCAGGCTCTGCCTCCTTCTGTGGTCTATGTGAAAATCAAACTTTTTCTCGTCTCTTCAGGTCAATCTTCGATTTTGAATCTATTCAAAACCTGCTTCTTCTCCAAAATTTACATTCTGGTATAAGTAGCTTAATGTTGTTCTCAGACGTTTCCTTTTAAATTTCTTCTGTTACATGTCACTTATCTTTTGAGTGATTCATTTTGTTTTGTTTTATGAAGCGATGATGCATTGAATGGAGTTGCTGGAGCTTATGCGCACCACATCTTTGTTGAGGAACTTGGTGGACAAGAAAGTTCGTTATTGAATTGCACAATGCACACCCAAGGTCTCGTTTTTTTTCCTATCTGGAAATATCATGTTTCGGTTGAAGAAAAATTACACCTTGAGCCTTTTCATTTGTGATGCTGTAACATTGTACAGGATGACTTTGGAGGAGGATATCCGGACCCCAATCTGACCTATGCCAAGGAGCTTGTGGCACACATGGGATTGGGTAAATCTGATATCGGAGTCGAGTCTCCGGGGTTTGGTGCAGCTGCTGATGGTGATGTGGATTGTAACATGATCCTTGGTAAAAGGTAGCTTACATAAGGGAGAATACAGACATAGAATAGGTAGAAAGAATAGTTTTAACCCTAAAAAGATGTTTTTCTTGTTAGGTTCTTCTTTACCCCTTCGGATTCAGTTGCAATAATTGCTGCCAATGCTGTTGTGGCCATACCATACTTCAGCTCTGGTTTAAAAGGTGTTGCAAGGTATGTATATATATATATATATATATATATACACGGGTCCACTTTATTTATTTTGAGCATAATTCCAAATGCTGGACCTAAATGTTACACACTGCTTTGGGCGATTGGTGCTATATTCTCTTCTCATTAAACTCAGTTTTCACTTCCGTATTTCAGGAGCATGCCAACCTCAGCTGCCCTTGATGTTGTTGCCAAAAGCATGAATTTAAAGTTCTTTGAGGTAAATACTGCCCCAGAACTGCTCTCTAGCTTCTCTTCTTCGCATTATCATAATTAAACTCATTTCTTTATTATAATTATATATCAGGTTAGGTTCTGATAGGGTGGAAATTTTTCGGTAATCTGATGGATGCCGGGATGTGCTCTATCTGTGGTGAAGAAAGTTTTGGAACTGGTCAGCCTCAATTGTTAGAATCTCCCATTTGTTAAAAATTTAATCCAGTGCCTTCCAGATTCTCAAACGGAATTCTTTCACAGGCTCGGATCATATCCGTGAGAAAGACGGGATCTGGGCTGTTCTTGCTTGGCTCTCCATCCTTGCTCACAAGAAAGGGAAACCTTGGCGGAGACTTAAAGCTGGTATATGTTGAAGATATTGTCCGGCAGCACTGGGCTACCTATGGCCGGCACTATTACACTCGATACGACTATGAAGTAAATTTGTGAACTTTCATAATCTGGTTACGTACTCAGAACAGTAAAGACCCTGACCATTTTTTTAAATGCCTCCAAAGAACGTAGACGCAGCTGCAACCAAGGAACTCATGGCAAATTTGGTCAAATTGCAATCTTCTCTTCCTGAAGTCAACAAGTAGGCTCTTCTTCCTCTTTAAGTTCTATCCTTTTATGGGCGTTTAACAATTTTGTTTTAAGGATTTAGCGGATCATGTTTATGCAGGCATCTTACAGTCTTACTTGCTTGGTTTTTAATTAGAATCGTGAAGGGAATTTGTTCAGATGTGGCAAATGTCTCCCATGCTGATGAATTTGAATACAAGGATCCAGTTGATGGCTCCGTCTCAAAGCACCAGGGCATCCGCTACTTGTTCGAGGATGGACCACGACTTGTAAGATATCTTTTTTCCTACATGAGTTTTGAATTCGTGGACATTCCAGTATGAGCAAGAGGCCCAATCGAACCATTTCCGTTGATAGAAACGCAAGCTATAAAAGTAGGGTCTTGTCAACTCTCGCAAAACCCATTAAGCAGAATTTTCTGAACCTGGCTTGTAACGGGAGCATCAAGATATCATACTTGGTCGACATAGGATCATAAAACTAAGACTGATCAGGATCATCTGAATTTTAAAAAGGGTGAGTGTTTGATGTATTTTGATATTGAAATTGATCCTCTCTGGTTCTATCGGGAACTATCTGAATGTCTTCTGTCTATCTGGAACTGGCTCAGAAGGAGCAACCATTCGGCTCTACATTGAACAGTACGAGAAGGATGCCTCAAAAATTGGCCGAGATTCCCAGGTGGATTTGTCGTTGGGTTTGATTGCCCAGGTGGATGTGGCTCTGAAACTGTCCAAGATGGAGGAGTTCACCTGCCGATCAGCCCCTACTGTCATTACATAAGAACAGCTGAGACAGAGACCCAAAATTGAATTGCGCATTTTGTATCCCTCTTCGTATGGATGATGTCTGGCCTCTATACTTTCATGTCCCGACTTCCCTACTTTTAAATAATAATATCACTAATAATAGCTTCAGAGAGAGACATCGTCTAGTGATCTGCTCGCGGCATTTTCGTCTGCCTCGACAATTTCCGCTTCATCAGCTTTACTTCTGTTATTTTTTTTTCTGGTTTCATGTTGTATCGTATGATGGAGATTTGGTTATGGGAAGAGTTTATGGGTTTGCTTTGTATCTAATCTGATTATCCAATGGTAGGAAGGAAAGTGATGGTATTCTTAAGATGTATTTTCTGCTGATACTGTTATGGGAAGCTGTTGCGTTATTTGAAGGCTGCACAATCACAAAGATTGTTCTTTTCTGCTGATGTTGATCTTAAACTTGCTGCTTATATAGATGCGGATTGGGTTTCATGCCCAGATTCTGACGGGATTTTGTGTCTTCTTAGGCAGTTTTTTGGTTTCATGGAAATCTAAGAAACATGTCACAATTTCGAGTAATGTAGAGTCCGAATATAGAGCCATAGTCAAACAGCTTGTGAATTGGTCTGGGTTTCTTCGGTGCTTGATGATTTGCATGTTCAGGTTTAGTAACCTGTGGCTTTGTTTTGTGATAGTATGGCTGCTATTCATATAGCTAATAATGCGGTTTTACACGAGCATACGAAGCACATCGAGTTCGATTATCATTATGTTCGGATCAGATTTCTGTTGGCTTTCTAAAGCTGTTGCACATTTCTTCCAAGGACAATCTTACTGATGTGTTTAGTAAAACCATTATATGTTGAACATTTTAAGATGGGAATACATAATTTGTATTCTCCATTTTGAGGGGAATCTTAAATATATTTTCATTATTTGGTTTATTTCGATTGATTTCTGATTTAGTTTTCTATTACAGAATTGGTTTGTTGGGTGTATTAGTATGTTTCGCATATAAGGAACAAATGGAATATTTTAAAGTTTAATAAAAAATTTGAAAATTGTCCCAAAATGTTTTCGATTTTCCTCTCTCTTTCTGCGGTCTCTTTTCTGTTTGGTCGTCTTCTTTTGATTTCAGATTCAGAAACGCAAAAGGTATTGTTATAAGGATGGTGTCAAATGTCAATTTAAGGGGGGTCCGGTCGAGTTTTACCGCTGTTAGCTAGCTGTGGTCTTTGAGAAAATAAGGTATGCATGGCAATCAACAAATGGACGCTGATTGTAATGACAGAAAAATCACTACAAAATGGTTCCATGGAATAATATTTAACAGATGGTTGGGTTGGGTATTGGGATAGAGGTTAGAGGATCCACAACAGGGCCTCCACCCAAGCCCATAAAATGAAAGGAGGGTTCGATGTATTTCCTCGGCCCAACATTACTGATTCATTTACAGATTCCACCACCCACTCTTCGACTATATATATATATATATATGTTGCCGTACTCACTCGTATTTACTCATTCAATGGTTGCATTTCTTGTAGGGGAGGGAGACCTTCATACAATTTTTTTGTTTGGACAGCTCCCTTGAAGTTAAAATATGTTTTACAACCACCAGAGAATAAAAATCATGAATTGACCCTAATGGAAGACCCGTTGCTTCCCAACTTGTTGATGTCTGATCTTATCCCCCTCGTCAAAATACCCACGTGATTTTTGTGATTGATTTTGACTACCCACCAAACTTCTACCACATGTCCTTCATCATCCTTTATATTCTTTTCAATTGTTTTTTATTTGTATTGTCTATTCATGATCTTCTAACACATTTCTCAAAGATATATTGAAAAAACAAAAGGAGAGAATATGTGGACTCTGTGGGGGCTGATCTCAGATCCACATCCTCACATTTTCTGTATTATTTTTCTTATCTTTTTTTTTTCTGTTGTTGTAAATTCATATTCTAAATTGATTGGATCGGTAGTCACAGAGATAATGAATTGTTCAATAATTGTATATATTGGATTGAAAATCTCTATAGAATATACGTCACATTTTCTTAAAGATGAAAACGTCACATTAGCGTTTGCACAATATCAAAAGGATAAAAGGGACCGTTCCCTGCCGGAACAGAAACTACTTAGCAGCATATAATGTGTGATTAAATTACAATAGTAATAGACCGTTTTAATTAATTAATTAATTTAAAAGAAAGGGGGATCATGCGGCAGAAGTGGCAGAGTAGTTCATTCCGGTGGATTCGCCGGTAGAGCACTCCATGAGCTTCATCTTGCTCATGCTGTATGGCATTGCATTCATGAGCCTGCATCGATTTTGGAACTCAAGTTTCTCCCATATTCTTCTTCTAAATGTTAACAGACAATCAACGACGAGTCTAACCTTTCTTTGCGCTTCTCCAAGAACCGAGCCAGTGATGCTTTCCGGGCCTGTGGAACTGCAGAAACAAATGCAATCAGGAGTCCGTCCGTTATATATAATGATGAAATGCATATGCATGGGTGGGAAAGTAAACCTGAAGGAATGATAGAGGAGGCGGAACAGAAGGAGCCCATGAGGTTAATGGCGGCTCTGGTGGGAGAGTGAGTGCCTGAGGTTGATGATGCAGAGACAGCAGGCTTCGCCTTTGGAGGATGCTTTCCATATGCGATGTCTCCTGTTTTACCCTTTTCATTTTCTACCATTGATGACAGCGACAATCCGTTTCCAGCCCATAACATGATCGCCTGTGCCTGCATGCATGCTCAACTTTACTTCTTGGTACGTACGTAATAACATAATCTACATTAATCTCTCGGTCACTTAGTTATACGCACCTTCTCGGGGGAGATGTCATTGAAGACGTTAACAGTTCCAGCATAGAAGACTGTCAGCTGAGGAGCACTCGAAGCCACGTTGTTCCTAAAACATATATACATACATATATATATATATATATATACACACACTTCATTCCCTTCTTCTTATTAATTACTCGTAATTTACACGAAAAGAAAACGGGAAAAGGAGAATAACCGAGGATCAGAGAAGGCAGCAAAAGAGTTGAGGGAGGGCAGAAGAGGAGAGGGATTCGTCATTGCCGTGTGATTCACTCCACCCAGCTGCCTCCTCTTCATTACCTGCCCATTTTCACATCCCTACTGAATCTTTTCTTTTTTACGCACGTGTTTTTTCCCCGCAGGTGGGTCCAATTACCAACTTATCCCTGCAAACTTTCTTCTATTCACGAATTTGCCATTCATCTCCTTCCTTTTTGCTTTTTGCTTCTCTCTCTCTCCAATAACTTACGTAGAGACCACCCATCAGATTCATTTACTTTTTAACTCTAATATTATCTATTATCTTTTATCCCTCAACGGTTGGCCACACACACACACAAACACAAATCTCAAGGATGTTCCGCGGTATGAACCCTAAAACATGTTCGACCACGCATGGGTTTTGATTTAACAAGTTCCTGGTTTTATTTAGTTCAAGAAACCGCATAAACTTGTGTTGAATAAGTCTGGTTCTGGTTATGCTGAAAGATGTGAAGAACTTACATGGAGATCTCTAGCAGACATGAAATTCGGAGGACCACCGTATTTGGCCCACTCCACAGCTGAGCCCTTCTTGCTTACCCCTTGCATATCAAATTAAAAAAATAATAATAAATAGCATTTTTAGTGGTCCATACGCAAATTATATCTTCTTTTCTTCTTCTAAACTTTCAAGATTCCCTCCGAATTCCTCGACTAAAGAATCATAACTCTCTTCTTCACACCATTCACAAATTCAATGCAACCGTCTCCTCTAATTTAATTTATGATATATATGGTTATAATTTCCTCACCAGCTTAATTATATGCATAAAGTATGAGATCTAAGATATGCTTTTCAGTGGGACTAAACGATAAACATAAAACATGAACAAGAGCAAACTAATAGCAATACTAAAAAAAGGAAAGAAACCTGAATCATCGCGGTTAACCTCCGGCTTAACCTTGCGCAGTGACTGTGATCTGTTCCTCAAACCCATGAAATCTCTTTCCATCTCACCAACAAACTAAAGCAATTCCTTTTTCTTTCTCGTGCAAAAGAAGAGAGAGCAATCTCCTCAGAAGATGAAGAAACCAGAGATGGTTTAGGTATGGCGATGATCGGTACACACATGCGTGGGTCATCCACCTTATACATTCGCTCCTTAAAAGCCAGCTTGATTCAGCATGTGGGCGTTTACAGGCTATACTCGGTGCTCTCACCGGCTTTACCGGTAAATACTCACGTGTTTTTTTCTTTTCCCTGTGACGCTAAAGTGTGATCGACAACTGTCGGTGCCTATCGCTTCATGCAACGACCGCCTCATCCAAAACTCGACACGTGTCCATTACTTTGATGGTTTTTCATTCCGTTTCGGCTGCAATAACTTTGTTTTTTTATTGGTCAGTTTGGTCCGTCGCTAAACTTTGATAATCCTGAAACTATTATATTTTAATATCCTAATTTATTAAAGTATGTTTAAATATTCTTATTGTACACAATAAATTTTTAATACATTTATCCTATCAATAAATTAAAATTAATACATTAACCATCTTAAAAATAATTATATAAAAACGTGATATTAAAAGTCTATGAAATAAGTTAACTTTTTATATTTTAATTTGTAACATTATTATATCATATGATAAAAAAAATGTGAACAAAATAATAATCGTAAAATTAAAATGTAGTTATTATGTATTTTTATTAGTAATTTCGTGAAATACGTATCACTTGGCTATATACTGCACGCTAAATATTGATATCTAGTAAAGGGAGGGAGGAAGACTTTATGTTCGGTTAACATGTGAAAGGTATGGCTTTTTGCAACGGTTTTGCGATAACCCTTCATATCGTAACATACATTTGTATATTTTTATATTAAATATGGCGTGTCGACTAAATAAATTAATGGTGGTGCCAAGTCCTTCTATCGAGGTGTTACTATCGAAGTCAGATATTATTATTATTATTATTATTACTATTATTATTATTATTATTTTCTTGTTTCCACGTAATAACCTTGTCTTTTTTTTTTTGTTAAACTAATAACCTTGTCTTCATGAATAAAGGAAAATAATATATAGCGTGCGCATATATATGTATATATATGCATGCGTGTGTGTGAATGGGATCTGTTCGTATGAATAAGCATGGGCGCTTTTAATAAATTACATTTTGTTATTCGACATCATCATCATAATCAATATATTTTAGGGTTTCGCTAAACAACGCGACCAAGTCGAAGATGGCAAGGTTATTAATACGGCCTGTTATCTCAAAATAAATATATATATATATATATATATATATATATTTGATTTGAGCATTGTTTTCATTCATACATATTGGGCTAAGAGTTTCACTATCGGCCCAATTGTATAAATTGGGCATTAAGACAAAAATCAGCCCGAAAACCTCTAGTGTTATGAACCAGTTCACAAAAAGAAGAATGAGGCAGGGCAGGAGAGTGAATTCATGATATATACAAATTTAGCTGAAGTGCTTTCACACGACACAACATTTCACCACCGATCCCTGATTTTAACACATTCACATCAAAACAAGAGCACGCTATAACTAACATCACCGCCAATTGCCACTCCAGTTTCCGGGTTTCTGCATGGATATGGATCGAACTTACCAACAACCTTAGCCGTAACAAATGAATATATGATTGTGTATATCTATGTCTTGTCATTCACATCGATTATGATTTGTTTTCATGTATATAGTTGTAATAAATGAATATCATATGAAAAAAGTGTCGTGCTTTTTCTTACCCATCATCACCGAGGTGCTTGTTAAGCCTTTTTTTTCAACTCACAATCAACATTAAGCATACGGGTGAATAGTTTCTTCAAATGTTAAGTAAACGTCCACAAGGAGACATAGTAAAGGGAGAATCAGTGGTGACCGGTATCAACCTTTTTCTTTGGGAAGAAACCAATCATCCATTTCAGCGTCATCATCACCCGAGTGTCCAAGATCATACTCTGTTTCTACATTGTCTTCTCTCATCCTCTGTGACTGTGACATCATCATCTCCCTCTTCCATTGCTCTCTCTTCTCTATGCTCCTTGAAACCATTCCCCTCCCTCCTTCCACTGGAAACTCCATGAACCCACCCTCCTCTTCTCTCTTTTCCATCTCTTCCTTTACGAATCTCGAAAATTTTGAAAATCCCCTCTGGGGATTACTGCAGGTAGTGTCTGTGGCTTTTGATGCCTTTGGTCTCCTGTGATCACACTTCAAGCAGGCTGAGTTCCTTCTGAAATTGATGTAGTTGCACCTATAATAACATACCCCGACATGTTTTGTTATGTTATGGATCCAACCCCATCTTTATTATGTGCATTTGGATTTCTGTTAAGAGAGACTGACTACTCACGACTCGCACTCCCACTCGCCTGGATTAAGTTCCCGTCTTGGAGGCTTCTCTCTGCACCGCAGACACCTCGTGTTCTTTGCAAAGTTCAGGAAGTTGCATCTGCCACATAAAAAAAATGTCCTTCCTCGGTGAATCTAAACCTATAATACATATATACACACACACACAAATATGAGTTTTACGTTTCGCAAATCCAGTCTCCTTTCTTCAGGGGAAGATGATCTTTTTGTTCCTCCTTCAATTGTTGCAACCTTTCCTCAGAAAAGATACTACAGCCCAAGCACTTGAGGTTTCTCGCAAAATTCAAGAACTTGCATCTACCAGATAAGAAAAAGAAGAAAAAACAAACATATAAGATCATTGGAGAACGAAAAGAGCATCCGGAGATTAAATAAACCATCAACAAGAGGTACTATATAAACTCGGTCAATGTGGATCATAAACAGAAAGCAGCACACTAAAATAACTTACTGGGGACATTGCCAATCCTTGGGCCTCTTCAGCACGTCTTTCTCATCATCGTTGTCCTTTCGGGAGGCCTCAACAGACTTGACGTTCATCGAGCTGTACTCAACGATTTCTCTCAGGAGTTTCCTCACAGAATCTTCAACAAACTTGGTTCGGCAGATGCGGTTCTCCACAGTAGAAGGTAAGTAATCGAGCCCATAAGTTAGCAGAATGCGCATGACGTCAACAGTTCGAGCACCTTCTTCCCGTACCTCCACATATGCCCTTTCACATTCTCCTCTCAAGTTGCAAGAGCCACACACCTACTACGTTAAACATATATATGACTATAACAAGTGGTTCTTTTGGAGCACAGCCAACATTTCTTGTGAAACCAACAGATTCATCATGCGGTCAGATATTCGGTCAAAATGATTCAACTTTGTAATGAAAAAGTAACATGAGGGTACCGTTTTGGAGGAACTAGTATATAGTATGTCAAGGATTTTTTTATAAAAAAAAAAAAGAAGAAGAAGAAGAAGAAGAAGAAGAAGAAAGAGAGGTGCATACATCTCCTTCCCCAATGCCAAGATGAGCCCTTAGACGCTTTCCTGAGTTCACGACCTTCCTGTCAACGCTCGGGCATCCGCATCTCGCTATCACCTTCATGTCTTCCCTTGACAAGTACCTGAAAAAGAGGGAACCTACCATCATCTTCAGCCAATAGAGAAGCAAAAAATCCAGACTTTCCATCTCGCTTAGGCATCCAATGAAAGCTCCAGAATTTATAGAATTCTCGGTTGCGCATTTAACCGAACAGCTTGTATGCATATCCGACGAACCATTTACGAACCTTACAAGATCAAAATGATGGCGGGCGAAATTCAGGCACGACGTACGGATACGATTCGATCCTTTGGAAGCCGATCCGGCTTCACCAAAGTAGCCTTTCTTCAGAAGCAGCTCCATCAACTCCGACCACTCAGGCCATGGATGCAAGATTGGCTCAAGCAAGCCTCGATTCGTGATTTCGGCAGGGCTATGGATGAGGGAGACAGCTGAGAGCCGCCGCCGGGGAAAGATCCGATCGACGTATACATGAGTGGTTTTGAAAAATCTGTGCATTAAGCTAATATTTCTTTAGGCGGTGTTTTCCCTGGCCGGAGTTTTAACCGTAACAAGGCACTTGGGTCGCAGCAATTTCGGGTACACCATCCAGAAAAAAAAAAAAAAAATTTAATTTTAACCCACTTTTCGATTGAAAAAGTCCAAAATACCCTTTTCGTTTTATTTTTTGTGACCTTTTTGCGACTAACATATAACTGATATTTAACTAAAATAAGACGGATAATTTTTTTTTGCCACCTTTTTGTAACTATATTTAGAATTAATTACGAAGTCGTAATAACGAAGTTGTTTTCGAACGGATAAATATCGTGATTCATTAAGGGTAATTTCGTCTTTTTACGGAGAAAAAAATGTGTTATGTTTTTGATGGTGTACAGGTGAAATAGATACGACCCAAGTGGGTCATTTGAGTGATTTTCCCTGGCCAGTGAGCTTATTGCGAGTTTTAGGTAAAGAAGAACAATATGGTCATATCGAATCTGAAAGATTATACCAAAAAAAAAAAAATCTGAAAGATATATTATATAGCATGGAAGTTGGTTTGTTCTACTAACAAGGTAGATGAGATTTTACCAAAAAAAAAAAAATCGAGAAGAAAGTTGGTGTCTTTATAAAAAAAAGGTTAAAACTTGGACTTCCTTCCCTTCCCAAAGCCGCGAGTGTAAGGGCCTGTGTCTCGTTGACGTCATCTTCTTGCTCGGCCTGACAGCGACAGATACAATTGTAAGAAGAAGAAGAAGAAAGCAGTGAGCAAAAATGAACATCAAAATTAGCCAACAGTTACAAAAGCTAATGACTCTCACCTCGGCAATCACTCTGTGTTTCTTGTTTGATTTGAGATTATCATCATATGCTTCCTTGAACCTTTTCCCTTACCTTCCGTTTCAACTTGTCCCTCTCCATCATCATCCATCTCTGTTCCAGATCTCTCAAGGTTATGCATTATTATCCAAACTAAACTAGCAACGGCAATGATTAACACCCCATTAATCATATTCACATTTTCCCATATACGCTAGTAAGGAGGGCCACCCAAATTCCAACATTGAAAATACATCAGATCTCACCTCCAGGTTTTGGTTTCTATATATCCAGTTGTGTTTGTTTTACCGTATATAGAATAAGATAAAGCCCACCCGTACGAATGCAGATAAATTTGAAAACTTTACCACGATCACTGCCATGGAGGTGCGTCCAGAGAAATCTTCTATACCTTGCTCCACTTCGAGATCATCATAGCCTTCAACGTATCATGTTAAACAACATATATTTGAGCACTATGCCCAACTCAGTTCTGCTGGAAGCAGAAAGAAAATTAAGCCAAAATCAACATTGGATGACAAAAAGTACCTCTTCTTCTTCAACCCCCTCAGCTGCCTGCTTCTCCGAATCAAGAATCTGGGTAATTGTAGATGTCACCGTAAACTCCTTTCTTCAAACGCTCCAACAGCTCACTTTCAATAGCCTGTAAACATCATGCTCTTATATTAAGAGAAGAAGCATAAAGGAAACAAATGTGAGGCAAACAGCCAGAGAGAAGCAGTAACCATGTCCAACACTGCTGCTTTTTCAGCCTTTTCCTCAATTCTCGCCTCTCGTTTCTTTTCCTTTCTAGGTGTCGTCATTATCTTCTCCCTGCGGATTAAAACCAAATCATCAATTGATGAGGACCAACAAAATACATAAGCTTTCCACTATCACTTGTACTAACCCGGCACAAGAGAAAAGAAACCAACCTTGCTTTCAGTGCAAGCTTTCTCATACATCTGATTCATTTTGGCAGGTCGTTGTTTTATCTTGTGCTGCAATAACTTGGGCCAGTACGTCTGGCATGGTAAAGATCCAGAATAAACCAGGGGTTCTTACACATCAGAACATATGTACACACACACACACAAGAATCTTGCAATATATCTCAAGTAACCAGATGGTTTCAAGAGCCTTCTCGTAGCTCCCACAAGTCCTTGGGCATATGATCCCTCTCTATTGTCTTCATATATAAATAAAAGACTCCTGAATGTAACACCAACCACAAAGAAACATAATCGAATAACCCCACAACTACAAGTCTGCGATAAGCAAGCCAACTCTGTGCTACACACTATTGTCAAAACTCTTTCAGAGGATCATCATAAGAAGTTTTGATCATCGACACAGACAAACAGCGGCTCAACAGTACCATCATGTTCGCGAATGGCGGCGTAGCGGCTGTTGGGGAGAGGGCAAGAGCTCCGGTTGCAGATGCCAGTTTCAAGTTTATGGAAAAGTGACATTGTAAGGGTTTCTACAGAAGATCCCGGTCTCCATTCTACAAGAAAGAAAATAATCCCAAATCAGAAAACCTTGAATACAACAGTAGACACAAGTCAAGAGCAGAGCAAAGTACAATACTTGGCCATGAAACTGCAGTGCTTGTGCCTGATAACCTGCCAAATAACCTCATCGTGCTGCATCTTTTATAAATAAATAAAAAAAACTAGAATTGGGGAGGAGCTAGGGTTTATTTATGAAAAGATGATGAAGAAGCGGCAGAGAGAGGATCGTCGGAGACAAAAGAGAGCGGCGGAGACGGACACCGGATAAAACCTCTACTACTGTGAACCTTTGGACCACCAAAACCTTGTAATGGGCCGGCCCAGGGGTTTCCCTTTTTTTGTTAAATTTTTTTATTTAAAAAAAAAAAGATGATTTGATGATAATCGTTCAAGAGCATATTAAGAATCATAGAAACTAACCCTCGTTGATTGAAAAGTTACGTTTCTAACCACATCTAAAAGAAACTGCCATTTAACCGAAATAACACTTGTGACCGAATAATAATACAAGTTTGGTGTTTGAGATTATTGTTTTCACAAAAAGCCAAAAACACAAGTGAGAGTGAGACATCTTTTTTTTTTTCATAAGAGAGAGGGCAAACCATATTGGCGGCCTTCGTGGATTTGGATTTATACATTACTGAGGGCATAGAGGCCCAACTCATAAGCAGCCCATTGTGCCAAAACCCGTGCATGTTCCAAACCCTACTCTCTCGCCCTCTATATAAATCCTCTGGCACTAAGAAACCCTAGGAGGCCGAACCGCGATGACGACGAGGTTCAAGAAGAACAGGAAGAAGCGCGGCCACGTATCCGCCGGACATGGTCGTATCGGCAAGCACAGGAAGCATCCTGGAGGTCGCGGTAACGCCGGAGGCATGCACCACCACCGTATCCTCTTCGACAAGTACCATCCCGGTTACTTTGGGAAGGTAGGGATGAGGTACTTTCACAAACTGAGGAACAAGTTCTACTGCCCCATCGTGAATTTGGACAAGCTGTGGGCGCTGGTGCCACAAGAGGTGAAGGACAAGGCCAGCAAGGACAACGTTCCATTGATCGATGTCACTCAGTTTGGATACTTCAAGGTGTTGGGGAAAGGTGTGTTGCCGGATAACATGCCTGTCGTTGTGAAGGCGAAGCTGATCTCCAAGAACGCGGAGAAGAAGATCAAGGAGGCCGGTGGAGCCGTCATCCTCACCGCATAGGGTAGGCATTTTTTTTCTCATTTCGTATCCCATTTTTATTTTTTGTTTTGAAGTGGAGATCTTTAATTGTGGGATTTGATTTGATGGTACATCTCGTTTGTCGAAGTTGCGAAGTGATATGATGTATTTTGGATCTATGGAAGTATGAGTTTCGTCGGTTATGATGGTTGCATGCTTCTGTGGTTAGAGTAATATAGTAATGGTGGCTGTCGTAAATCACACGCGGAATCCACTGGTTGTCCCTTTTTTGTGTGGATGGTAGTTTGCAATTGAAAATTGTTTGCTAACCGATGTTACATCATACATTTTGGTCTCATTTGCCTCTATTTTCTTTTTTTATATATATAAATTGAAACTCCGCACCACTAAACAAGATTCCTTTCAAATTGTATAGAATTCAATTCAACTTTGTTTTTTCGGGGGGTTTTCATTAAATCAGTCACGAGTTCGGACACGAAGTTGGGAAAGTGATTGCATTGTACATTAATTTACAACAGCACTTATAGGGTCGCCAGACACTTGTATATTGTGTGCCGCCCCTGAAGATACCAATGTCGCAAGAAAAAGGAGGGCACAAGTACTTGTGCTTCTTGGCAACATGTTACGAGAATGGCTGAACAAACCCCCCTACCTAGTTACGTAATGTTCGACGTCTCCCTTATTTACGTCGCTTTGGATCCACACTCAATTACACTTTATTAACCCCCCCCAAACCATCAACAAGAGGTACTATATAAACTCGGTCAATGTGGATCATAAACAGAAAGCAGCACACTAAAATAACTTACTGGGGACATTGCCAATCCTTGGGCCTCTTCAGCACGTCTTTCTCATCATCGTTGTCCTTTCGGGAGGCCTCAACAGACTTGACGTTCATCGAGCTGTACTCAACGATTTCTCTCAGGAGTTTCCTCACACAAAAAAAGGTGTTTCGCCGCCGCTAAAATTAGAAATGCGCTTCTGTTCTGTCTCCCCCTTTTTTGTTTTGGTAATGAGAATGTTCTTTCAAACCCAATAATTCCCAATTTTTAAGATTACCCCACACTGCATTAGGAAAGTAGGCAAGTTTAATAGGTGAACAAAATCAAGGTCAAACCATTCAAGCACTGGTTATGGTATTCTATTGCAAGGGACCCTAACTAACCTAAGGAGATGGGGGTGAATAGTACCATCGTCTCAGCGAGCAGAAGGCAAAGCCCTCCAGTTGTCCGCAAGAAGAATGGCACGATCACGCGAAGCTGCAGACAGTTGTTGAAGGATAACGCTCTTTACATGACTGGCAGCCCTTTCGCCGCCCCTTTCCGCTAGTTCTAGGTACAGTACTGCTTTCAGCATCGCACCCTCCTGCCAGCCCCAGCCCATTTGTCATATAACTTTAATCATGCTTGGTTTCCAAAAACTTCACAAGTTGAACCATCAAACTCAAAACATTATAAATCAAGAAAATCTCAGACGAATAGATTTTTCTGCTTGCAATGCAATTCAAGATGTTATAGGAAAACAGCCCAGCCTACCAGTCACCCCAATCAAACAACAATTGAAACAACCGATCGTCTCAGCCACCACTTTGAACCTATTTAACTCGAGATTTGACCAGCATCTAGAACACACATTGTGTTCCAAGTGTAAAACTATGGAAAAAAAAGCTGTGGTAAAAAGACATATCCTATCCATATTATGAAACAAATTACTAAAGAAACTTGCACAGGACCCTGCTGAA